ATTTTATGCGTAGCATAATGTTAATCCCGATGATTAGAAAGAGTGTACCAAGAGTGTGTAATCTGCGACGAATTATCGCATGTGTCACTTATAAAAACAAAATGCGAACGAAAATCGTACGACAGTACAACGAGACGAATTTGCTGTCTAGCTCGACCCCAAATGTTGTAACTTGTAGAATTTACAGCACTGAATCAGAACCACGCGTCTCTTTGCCTATGCTTGTAACTAATGTTGCACCGTTCAAACCATCTTTTTTAATCCCGTTTCGTCTTTTTTTCTTTTCTTTTAAAACTATTCCACAGATAGATAAAGAGTTTTCTATATCCGAGACTGTCAAGGGAATCAAATACGTATGATATTTTTCATGATTAACTAATTAAATACATACTATAATATTGTTCGAGTACTAACAAGTATATCTTTGCATTTCTAGGCAATAACAATAATATCTAAGGCTTTAGCAAATGGAAACTATGATTCCTTGGAAGGTCTTGTAGCAGAAGATATGATAGAAGTTTTAAGAACAAAAATCGAAACCCTTAACCCTGAGCAAAGATGGTTAATTGCAGTAAATGAAGAAGATATTGTATTTCAAATTTTATCTGATATCTCAGCTGAGACAGGTAGCAGAATTATCAAATTAATACAATAATATTTCATAATATACAGCATATATGTATATATATATATATATATCTTATTTGCAGATGAGGACCATTCCATTCAAATTAAAACGATCTTCCATTACATCCCAGGTATGGCTGAGAAAAAGAAGTTAGAATCAGCTTTTACAGACATTTCTAAATTTGGAGATATGTTAGTATGTAATTATACTTTTACCCGTAAATATGTAAATAATGTTGGTGGTTCATGGATTGCGACTTTTGTAAATCATTTTAGTATTAATGTCTTATAGTAGTTTTGTTAATATATTTGCATAATAGTTTGAAATAAATTTGTTAATCTATTTAATCATTTTTTGTCGCTATAGAAAATAAGTGCTAGAGCTATCTATATAATATTACTTCATATTTTTTAATAAAAAGATATTAATATTGATATATTATTTACATTATATCGCATTTCAGACATGTATATACATATAATACAAATCATATATTTTATTCATAATCAAAATATATGGATTCAATATTTGTATTTTATATAAATATTAGTTACTAATATGTTCCAATATCAATGGAATATAGTTTTTAATGTGCAGCAAAGTTGCGCCAATTTGTATCCCATTTTTTGAAACAGATATAACCAAAGGCCCCTACAAAATAAAATATTCTGTAATATAACATTTATCGCATATAATGATAAAATGTATGCATTTAAGATTACCTGACACATTTGTGGATTATGTATCCAACATTCTTGTTTGGAACCTGCAGTTTGGAATAAATTGTTTTGTTTTGTGGCCACAAAATTAAAAAAATTTACTTCCAAATCTTCTAAATTACATACTGAAATCTTGATTACATTTAAATATGGTTCCATAAATAACGAGATAACAACCATAGCAGAAATACTAGCTTGCTTGAAATTTATTTCGATAGTTTTAATTGAGAAAGCTATTAATTTATTTAAATGGTCCAATGTAGGTGATGGATCTCCTGCAATAATACAATGTCATATAATCAAATACAATAAAAATTCCAACACTGAATAGAAATGTATAAGCATAACATATTCAAAAATAAGAAAAAATAAACCGTTCACATTTTCTTTATTATTTATATCTTCAGATATGAATTTTATGTATACATACATCTATCCAGTTTGTATTGACATTTTTATTGTACTTTATTTGATTCGATAGAAAACATTTTAATTTCATATAATATACAAAAAATATTTAATTATATTATTGTATTATAAGACAAAATTTCTATAATTACTTTTGTAAATTGCATCAGTAAGACGAAAAGGTTTAGTGATAGTTAAGGCAAACATTGGAATTTGATTACGTTCAGTTCCTTTTAATAATCTGTCTATTGCTGCAAATATAAATTAATCGATTATCAATTAGGAAATATTCAGACCATATGTATAAATTCCATTGTGTCTTACATTTTCCTACTTCTTCAAATACTTTTGCGACTGGGATATTTTTACTGATATATTTGCTCAGATGCATGGCATATAATCCGTACTTGCTGTTTGTTCTTTCGTAACTAGGACGATAACTAGATGTGGAGTATGCTTGTACTAAATTTCGTAGGTTTTTCCTACTCTTATATTCTTTGACTTTTGGTATCTCATTATGAATATTAGGATTAGATTCTCTGAAAGTTTTTAATACAGTGTATCTGAATATTTGATTACATTGAACTATCGATATGGCTTTAATTCCCAAATCATGTACATAAAAAAATAGATAATTGTAAAATTCCTTACTTTGGTGGTATAGTTTGACACATGTCCAATATCGTTACTAAAAGAGCAGGATCATTTTGCAATAATATAGCTAACAATTCACTTTCACAAATTGCATCCTTTCTTAAATAAGATTCTGGCGCATCAACAGCAAGCATATAACTCTCTTGCATTTTAAAACCATGTCCAGCATAATAGAATAATCCTACACGACATAAACTTTAGTAAAGGCATTATATATGTATATAATTCTATGTAGTATATTTATAATAACTCACCATAAACTCCTTCTTTTAAAATGTCACCAAATTTTCTTATAGCATTCTTCATTTGTTCAAGCGATAAGTTTACTAGACAAATTATTTTAAAATCAATTTCTTTTAACAGAATACCAATTTTTGCAGCATCGTTTTTAGGTGTCTCTAGACACATGTGATTCTCATAATCGTCATTTGCAATGATTAAAGCTATTTTAGCTATTGCTTTTTCACGAGGAAGGTCCAACTATATCAATACGAATATATAAATATATATATATATATCACAACAGTTTAGATAAAAATTCATATAATTTTTATTTTTATTTATAAAATAATAAATTGCATGTAATTTTTACCATTATATGACTTCTTTGAGTGATTAGTTCATTCACGTCATTATTTATATAACAATGATATTTTCCTTCATGTTTAAAACTGAACTGTTTTATCTAAAACATTTTTTTTTCTATTATGCAATCTTTTAACATTAATATTATGTGTACTTACATGCAATACATTGGATGTTTCTCCTTCTAATTTTATATTATCTCTAAACCATTGATAATGTGGTTCTGGATGACCTTGCGCTATACATTTAATTATAAAATCTTCACCTTCTTTAAGCTCTAAGAAAGCAGGTGGTTGTTGCTGTATAACTACAGGTACGCGAGATAAATTTACAAAAACTGATTTCGTTAATGATATAGATATTACTACTTCTCCATTATTAGTGACTTGTGAGATTTTGCAATTATATTCTCCAGCTTGATCACAACTGTAAGAAATTATGTACATAATTAGTTATATCACATGTCACAAATTTGAGACAATATTTTTACCTATTTATAACAATGTCAAGTTCACAACTTTGTTGTCTCGGTAGCTCAATATTATTGTGATACCACTGATAACTCGGTGATGGTATACCCGTAGCTTTGCAAGAAAGACAAAGATGTTGACCAAGAGATATTTCTAAAGTATCATGTTCTAGATCGTCAGAGGGATGTTTAATAATTACGGATGGTTCTAATAATAATTTTAAAAGTTAGATTGTTATGGAGTATTTTATCTATAATATATCGGTTCTGACTATTGAGAGACAGAGAGATATATACCTGGATAATGTAAGACAGACAAAACGTTGCCAAGTTCACAATCTCTGAGCAATGTGCATAATATTCCAACTGTACACATTTTTACATTAAGCTCGAATAGTAGATTGTCTGCTGGCGTTTTTGTAGCATTGGTATTCTGTTCTAATGACTTTAGCCATGAGTTCCTATAGGTATGACAGATACATAAAGATTTATTAAAAATGTATACTTGATTAATTTTTATCAAAGTTACTCGAATTGTTATTTTTTACCATTGGTATCCAAATTGTTCGGCTACGTGACAGGCGAGTATCTGCCAACTTGAGTTTTTATTTAACTCGTGAATTAATTCATTGTACATTCCTGGTGGAATACGCTCTAAATATATATCTTCACTGATTTTTGCCATTTTAATATAATTGTATGTATTAATTATTTTGCACAATTAGAATGATTAAAATGATTAAAATATAATCTTATCGACGCAACGACTTCCTTGCTGTCAAATGGACGTTACTTATTATAGCACGCTTTTTCCTCAATGGGAAAGGAAGGAAATAAATAAATGAATAAACGTCATCATACTTCAGGAAAAATATATTGCATTTATTTTAACTATTTTCTTCACAATTTACTTATCAAGAGTACATTGACATTTCATAAAAAGGCACAAAATCTAGAGTTGAGATTTATGTTACATCTAATTTTATACATTAATTTTTTTGTATATACGAGTTTTTTAATAAAAATATATAGACTTGTCTTTGATAATTGAATTAGTGTACACTTTTTGTACTTAAAGTAAAATAGATATATATTTGAAAGTTTGGTGAAAGCAGGAAGGAAAATTCTAGTGCAATCAAGTGAAGGAATAAAAAAACACTTATTTTTTTTTAGAGGCAATAAATCTGTTCGTATTGCTTGCTCTTTTTGCGTTCAATATCATCGCTTTCTTTCTTTTCAACATCTAAATATATCTGAATATATTTATCTCATTTTACGTGCAAACATTTTTAGGAATTTCAAGCAACGCGAATAGATCTAACCTCAGCGATTGGTTCGTCGATCGTCCAGCATTTTTTTTTTTAGTGATAAATGATTACTGAGTGTGCAATCGTAAAATGGCAAGTAACTAGGGATCTTGTTTCTCATTTTTGCGACGAACGATTTCAGGGAAAAATCATAAAGTCCCTGAGGTATTCGTTAGAGATACGACCGCGAGAGGGCGGCGATCGTCGCGCGGCCAGTCGGCCCGCGAAGTTGCAGCTTCTGCGCAATGCGCGTGGCGCGCTGCGCCGCATGATCTTGCGTATCAGTGTTCGCCAGTGCCATCCGGAAGGCACACATCAGTTTATGCGTTACGCGGGGAACAGCGCGATAATCGTAATCCGTGCGAGAACCCGCGAGCAGTGGTGCGTCGTCTATCGAGAGAAAAAAAAAGCAAGAAACGGATCGCAGATCGCGAGGACGACGGACGGTGTTGTTCGGTGACGATAGGGTGGCTGGTGGTCGGCGGTCGCTCAGCGGCGGCGATAGTGGTGGTTAGTGGTGGCGGCGGTGGTGGTGGTGGGTGCTCCGGGTTCCGCGAGTGTCCGCGAAAAACTAGTGCCGCGAGCCATCATGGCGAACCCACGGAAATTCAGTGAAAAGATCGCGCTGCTGAACCAGAAGGAGGCGCAGGACTCAGCCGCATTCGAGGCGATCATGAAGGAGGTCTCGAACGTCACGAGCAGAGTAAGGAGATATCAGTATTATCCTTTGGCGTGGGTAGCTCGGTGTCGTGCCGCGATCGCGCCGTGACCCGTCGTGCACTTCCCTCGGCTCAGATGTTAGAACGTAAACAACGGGTATCTCCCCTCGCCTCCGTCATCCCCTTGCTACTGTCGTTCTCCGTCTCTCTCCGATTTCCGTCTCTCCTTTTTATCGTTGCGCTTACCGCGCTGTTCGTTTTCCGTGTGTGCGTCTGTGTGTGTGTGTGTGTGTGTGTGTGTGTGTGTGTGTGTGTGTGCGCGCGCGCGTGTGTGTGCGTGCGTGCGTGCGTGCGTGCATGTATGTGTGTGAATGTATACATATGCGTGCGTGTTGCCTGCCTGCCCTGCCCGCCTGCTTGCCTGCTTGCCTGTGTATCGGCCGGGTTGCTCCGCGAGCGAGCGTGTGTGTATGTGCGACTGCTGGTGCAAGTGCATCGCGAACCGCGTATCCTCGACACGCGTTTACCTCGCGGCTCGCGGATCGCGTTACCGCGAGAGCGGTGCACATATACCAACTTATGTCGCGTGGATTTTTTCCACGCACGCTCGTGCCGATCCGATCGCGACTAAAGTACTTTTGGAGGCACTTATCGAGGCGCGATTACGCGACGCGGATTAATCTCTCGCGAGCTGATTGAACAAGCGTCGAAATTCACGCGCGTTTCAACGTGTTTTAACGCGAATTAACGATTCCGCTCCAAATTTATTTTTGTTTGGCAATTCCGCGTTGTAGAGTCGGAGCGCGGTGTTTAAATACCCGCTGGACGATATGTGGGATTTCAATTTCGATAAAATAAAAAGATAAAAACATCAAGAGGAGCTCGTTTCCTCGAGTGATTTCGCGGATGAAGCTTGGCGTTCGTTATGCATTCGATTCATTTCGATGTACGCATGTAAACATTCCACTCTCTCAATAGCAGCGCCGGCGGCCCTCGAGGTATTTTCAACGGGAGCGTCGGCGAGGTTGGGTCGATGCATTTAGCGTCCTCGAGCGCACCTCCGCATACCCCCGTGCAGTTAAAACCGAGTGCCGGAGACCGGGGAACGTTCTCCAATCGCGTCGAAAAGATAAGGATGTCTCGCGGGACCGTTCGTCGCTATCCGAATATCTCGGAGCGAAAATCTTCTGACAAATAAAACGAGATTGGATCACCGCGCTTTACGCAGAAATTTACTTGTTTAGATATCAATACATGATTGTTTACTACCGAGTGCGGTTACAAACTACGGTTTATTATTATTATTGTACTAGTAAATACAGTAATTACTATAACTTGAATTTTCCTAATAAGAAATTGTTTTTATCTTATTTGCTATCTTATAAATATTTACATACATTGAATTTAATGAAAACTTTGTTCTTTACATGAGAGAAGAAATGTATCATGTTTTAGTAAATAATAATAAATTTAATGATAATAATAATTTTTTTAATAATCAATATTTATTTATATGAATATTGCCAATTAAACATTTACTTACAATAAATAAATATTCAATAAAAAAAAAGATTGTCAAATTAAATTGATGATTTTGTACTAAATAAATAAATCTTTATATTTAATAAATAATTAGTTGGTACCATTTAAACTTAATGATTTATTAAAATTTACATTTTTTTCCAGTGCATCTTGTTATATAAATATCTATATAATTTCTTAAATTTTGCCTCTTGATGTACAAAGTTTATAAAATATTTAATTGCCGACTTGCCGACCCTCGATTTAAAATGAAAACCGCTTAAATTTCACTGTCAAGTAGCTGTTAACTGTCAGCTTTTAAAGACAGTCATCTGTCGTCTCTTATCTATCGATTAAACACAGTGCGGGACCAAATTCCGTTAGATTTTATAATGTTTCGTACACGTTCAAATTTTTCACTCACAGAACTTAGAGTACCGTTCAGATCGACAATCGGAGAATGAAATCCGCCACGGAGAGATAAGAACCTGTTTATCGGAGCGTGGTCCACAGAAAGGCCGATCATTATACCGTGAAAGTCAATACTACGTCACGTAGCTAACGCTTATAATCAACAAAAGAAATAATCGAAGATCACGAACACATTTGCGATTAAAGTAAGAACTATACTGGGCTTTCTACAACACAACAAGCCATTACCTAAGCTTTAAACCGTAAGAAATTGACCAACACACACAGTCAAAAAAATGTGAAAAGAATAATCGACTTTAATTGGTAAATTTCTTACGAGTTAAAACTTAAAATGTCGTAGATTGTAGAATAAGAATGCGAGGGTGGCAGGATGATAAAAAGAATCGTCAGTCCTGACTATACGTAAGTCTCGCAGGAAGGAAGAGAAAACAGCTTGATTAGCCTACGGCGATGTATCTGACTAATATTTGAGTTTTCGTTCGAAGCGCCTAATCTCGCAAGGCTAACCGGTCGGGTAAGGGGAGCTGTAAAGCTCGCTTACGACTACTGATGCTTTGTTTGCGGTGTGGTTGTCAATGACGGGACCTGCACAGGTGGCCTCGGCGAGCAGCTCGGTGGGTGCTAGTCCCACGGGATCCGGCGTACCGGAGACCCCGCTGTCCGTCAAGAGTGCCGGCGCCAGTCCACCGCAGTCCAGCGGCAAGCATCTGCACATTAACCTGGGAAATCAGTTCAGGGCGGGTGGCTCGCTGCCGAACGTTAACAACAATGTCAATTGCGGCAACGACGCGAAAGAGCACTCCTCGCCGCATCCCGGCGCGATCCACTCGATCGACCTTAAGGTCTGTACCGATCTTGCCCGAACGAAAACATCCCTCAGTTGTTGTTGCCCCGGCTTGTTGTCTCCCGAACATTTCGTTGCACCCTCTGGAACGCACCCTCATCTCGTTCCACGGAGAAAAATTCTTCCAAGTCTGCACGTTACGTCGATTCGTTTTGGACATGACATTCAGGCATTCTGCCACAGGTTTATTCGAATCGAAAAGATCTCGGTGATTGAGAGAGAGAGAGCCAATCTTTGGTTGATGTCAGACTTTGTGATATTTGGAATCGAAAAATAAGGATTTAAATTGTTATGTTGAAAGTGCAATGAAATTCGATCTTGATAGTTTTGATTCATTTTAGATGAACGCAATGTTTTTGATTGCAAAGTTTCGAAAGAAATTCTTTCTTGCATAAAATTGATTTTTGAAATCATGTTATTTTAAACTAATAACTTTATCATGTATTTCGCGATGAAACTCATTACTTATCATTATTTTGAAACTTTTAATGAAAGCTTCTTTCAAATCAGCACAAAATGAAAGACTTTTCTCCGTGTTTTTAAGGGTCGTTCCGCACTGCAGATATTTTACAATTCGCTTTTTTTTCCGCACTAGGTTCTAGTGGAAGTTCGAAATTTATTTCAGATAGTACAATATAATGTCTTGCTGTTTATTTTACTCGTATATGAAATAGGAAATGTATTGATAAATATTGTTGACGTTGCACATCACTGAACGCAGTAGGAGTTGTATCGACTGATATCGATCGTAACAATTTTCTTTTCGTAATAATCTTCCCCTTTTTCTTTTTGCAACGTCTTTACACAGCAATAAAATTGCATGGCACGTACGCAATAGCACGAATTAGAAATATTCCCGATTGCATTGAACACTATAAATGTAGTTGTGTAGTCGATTATTTTTTTAGTAGCAATTAAATTGAAATTCTGCGGTGACGAACAAAATAATTAAAAATCGCAAAATAAGAAAAATTAGAATTATAACAACACGTATGTTATTTAATGTGACTGTGCTACGTTAATTGCGTCTTGCAGGTAAACGATGCATACATTTTCGCTCACGTTATACTAAAAAGAATGACTGAAGGTTTTATCCTGCATTTTGAACCTCTGTGACCTTTGTCTCATGTCTGTATTGTAGTTGCAGTGTATACATTCGATAAACAAAGAACTATTTTATTAAGCTGTGCAAACTAACATAAATTCCATGCAGAAAATACTTTTATGGAAATGACCAAGTCCAGTCATTAATGATTTTGTATATTCATGCATAATTATTATTATATTCATGCAAATATCTGCTTCCGAGGGATTTATAGAATGACATAGATAGTCACGAAATCGTGACAATAAATTATAGCGTGAGTTTCGAAAAGTTTTAACGAATGTAAATCAATCGTCAAATTTCAAGCAGTTTAGTAACTTGTAATAAGATTTATTAGCAAATTGATTAATGATTTATATGGCAAAAATCTAACCAATAAGTTATATTTTTTTTTAAACATTGCGTGAAAAATTTTGCAAAATAATTTCATTTAGTTTTGACGTTATTTCAAAGTTTACAGCAAAATGTGTACTTGCATTAGTAGCTGTGCGTCATCCGAAGCAATAATTAAATTTTCTGGATGAAGTTTTCTCGTACTCAGATGGACTGAGAAAATTACGCGATGTCATTTCAGATAGAGATCCAATGATGAAATTATACAACATTTTTTTCCACATTGATGGGAAAAATGCTGGTTGCCGTATCGTAAGATCAAAGTGGAAAATTCACGACTAAAGACCGTAATTACTACACTACGTAAACAAGTAATTAATTTACATGCGAAATTTACGGAAATGTATAAGCTATTATATAAAAACGCGTGTACTTAAAATATACAATTGTCGAAATTATGGCACACTATCAGGTGAGGAAATCCTTATCTCGTACATAATTAAAGGATTCGCTGTGACATATGAATAAGTTCGTAATTTATAAATCTCAAACATACAGTTTCATTTCTAAAATAGACTTATGGACTTACCTCATTTTTATACACTGGGGATCCTTCAGTTTTTAACTGAACTGACAGTGATTTCTATGGCTTCCTTCGATGTTTTACTTCACAATATTCTCTTTAATAAATATTTTCTCTCGAGAAACTACTGTACCTAATTAACTTTGCTATATAATTTATTCTTTGTAACGAATCCTTTTTAATTAATTTGACACACCCCGTTTCACCCTACACGCGATTCTGCGAACAATGAGAAAGTCAAATGGTACTAGAATCAAAGGCGAATAAAATCATAAAAAAATTATTTAATTAAACATGGACTCACAAATATCTCGTGATTATGCATCGATATCTCATACCCCTCCCTTTAATTTGCTTGGATTTGATTTAATTTCAATGCATATTCATATCTTGGCCAATATTTTAATATCAAACATTAATATTTTCTACTAATTTTATTCATGTTAGACCGCACAGCGTGTTCATAATAATTACTTACTATTATTATTATTATATAAATCACATTTTTGAAATTTACGTAATTCGTATATCCCTACTTCGTATATGCTACTTCTTTGTTCTTTATTATTCTCCACGAATGAATTGTTTTACTTCGTAAAGTTATGCGCGGGATATATTGGAGAACATCGTCGCTTGTGCTTGTAAAGCCAATTCTTTTCCCAAGTGTCGAATTAAACCATAAACCACAACTGTAACAAAATACATTTACATGAATTAATTAATGGAAAACAAGGATAAAAAGGATTTTTACTGACAATGTCGATTTAATCGCACAAAAAATGTACTCTTTTACAGTAATGATAATAATAATGTTGAATAAAAAAAAATAAAACGTTTAATTACAATTTCATTAAGAGTTACTGATTCGAAACAATGAATCCATTTACCTCTGGTACAGTTCCTTGGACGCATTTCGCCACTTCGTAGATTTTTTCGCATGCGTCCGCGCCATCTGAAACATTAACCGAATCAGAGCGGAGAGTTCATGAAATAATAATGAAGTAATTATAAAAAAATGCATTTTGCTCACACAACGTACCTTGCTTAGCGCATTTGTTTAAAATTTTGTTACCTATCTCTTGAAATTGTTCTGGAATAACGCTTATCAGCATGTCAGCTTCCAAATTACCCTCTTCATCGACCTAATCGGCAAAAGATCGTTTCGATCAGTTTTACATTCGTCGTGTGTATAAATAAGCATAATGATATCTATAAAAATGTTACCAAGCTAAATGCATCGAGAAGGCAGTTCATGTAGCATGTTATACTCCGGTCATTTGAGAGCTTCCCATCGTTAACTTCATCGATAAGCACTGCATCGCGAAATTGAAATATCCGTTATAAATGCGAGGAGATGAAAACTTTGATATAGAGAGAAAGCTCATGTAATAGAACTTTCTTTCGAAATGACTAGGATGTTTTACTTTGGGGCTTTAAAACGGTTATGGAAAGCAGTTTGTATAATAGCACGGGATTATTGGCCGCATGTTGATCGTGCTATTAATTGCGGGGCTCACCTTGAGACGTTCCGTGTTCGGCCATGCACCGTTCCTTGTCAGCTTGAACCATCTCCAACATTTCCGCGGGGATCCAGTCAGGTGGCTACGCAAAATCAGAATTTATTACGAGCGCGTCGCAGTGAGTATTCTCGTGTGTCGGACTTTAACACTATTCTCGACAGGTCGCGCGCGCACGTTCGGCGAATCGCACATCACAATGCGTACAGTGGGTCACTGTCGATTATTATCCTTATTGTACGGGGATCTGGACCGCGTTTAACGAAAGTAAGCTGAAGGGCTTACCCCGGCGGACACGTAAATCGCCTGTAGCAACACTACGCCGAGGATCACTGACACGTGCATTGTCGTATGTTTGCTGCTCGTTCGCTCAAACCTCGATATGTCACTTTTCAAAGGCAAAATGTACCATCCGCGCTGGTTACGCGCTGTTTTTATAACGCCGCGACGACGGGATGTGGGCGTGCTTGACAGAGGGCTAATGCTATATCCTTCACTTACTGATTGAGGCTCTTCGTCGTTAAGTCGCCGATTAAACCCCAACTAATTTTCGACTTTTAACGGAAGCGCAGAACGCTCAATTACATGTGTGTTCGCGACCTTGAATGTATCCTGCATATGCATTTATACAAACATACAGTTCGTTATAGTGCGTGGAACTTTTTCATTCAGTGTACATGAAATCGACTAAAAGCTAGACTAAAGCTAGAGAATAAATGATTTTTTTTCCTCTCGTTTTATGCTCAATGATAATACTGTCGAATAAGACGTAAATTATTTTAATAAATTTTATTGTCAACTTACGTAAATATTCTAATATGATTCATTAAACAATGTAATATATGTTTTAGAGAAATTTTGAACTTCTTAAAAATCATCTTTAAAAGAGAAAAAAATAGTCTCTATTGGGATGGATATAGTCTTATTGATCTTTCTCTATTTCTAATTTTTCATGGAAATTATGAAATTACACTTCAAATATTTACTTTAAGCTGAATAACGGGAAGCTCTTAATATACGTAATTAACTCCATTGAACCTAAGCCGGAGACGGACGCTTATTCGGTTCAACGCACGACCCTATGGTGTTTTCAATTCCGACATATTTACTGTCGGAATTAATTATGTATATCTCAAGCTTTGGATATTCTCTTTTCCAACAATTCAATTTGCATGCCTCTGTATTCGAATTTATCATGTTACAAAAGATTTTTGTAGTATATTCGTAGCAGAATTATTTGTTTCTAATTCACAATAGATAATCTTTACTTATTTATAAAAAAAAAATACTTATACATAATATTATTAATACCTAAACAAAGCATGTCTATTAATAATGCGGAAAATGCTTGCACGAGACGGTGTCGTAATCAGTAAAGATACAATGTACGCAGCGATTACCAAATTATCTCTGAATTGTAAAAATCATCGTCAACATCGTGATACGAAATTACTAGGTAT